AAAAATTTGGGGCCAGTAAGATTTTTTTCAAGAATGTAATACTTTCAATCAGCAAATATGCATTCAATTGATCAAAAGTGACAGTAAATCCCTTTATGTTATAAAATTTCTGTTTCAAATAAATGCTGTACTTTTGAACTTTCTATTCATCGAAGAATCCTGAAAAATAAAATGCATCACGGTTTCCACAAAAAATGTGAAGCAGCACAACTGTTTTCAACATCTGTAATAATCAGAAATGTTTCATATTAGAAAGATTTCTGAAGGATCATGTGACACTGAAGAATGGAGTAATGATGCTGAAAATTCAGCTTTACATCACAAGAATGAAGTACAGTTTAAAATTTATTCAAATAGAAAACAGTTTACTTTAAATTGTAATAATATTTTACAATATTACTGTTTTTACTGTATTTTGGATCAAACAAATACAGCCTTGGTGAGCATTAGAGAAAAAGTAGTTTGTTACTAGTCCAGATATTCAGTTTTGAAAATGTTGCCAACACCCTAGCAACCACATAGCAACACGTTAATAACCACTCAGAACACCCTAGCAACTGCGCAGCAACATGGTAACCACTCAGAACACAATTTCAACCATCTAGAAACATTATAAAAACCACTCGGAACACCCTAGTGTCCGCATAGCAACATATTAACAACCACTCAGAACAATGTAGCAACCATATAGCAACAAATTAACAACCGCTCAGAACAACCTAGCAACTACATAGTAGCACGAACACCATAGCAACAAATTAACAACCACTCAAAACACCCTAGCAACCACATAGCAACACGTTAAGAACCACTCAGAACACCCTAGCAACTGCATAGCAACACAGTAACCATTCAGAACACCATTGCAACTGGCTAGAAACATTCCAAAACCCATTCAGAACACAGTTGCAACCGCATAGCAACACGATAACCACAAAGATCACTCTTGCAACCAGCTAGAAACATCTTAACAACCACTTACAACATTCCAGCAACCGCATAGCATCACATTAATAACCAATCAGAACACCCTAGCAACTGCACAGCAACACCGTAACCACTCAGAACATCATTGCAACCATCTAGAAACGTTATAAAAACCACTCAGAACCCCCTAGTGTCCGCATAGCAACATATTAACAACCACTCAGAACAATGTAGCAACCATATAGCAACAAATTAACAACCACTCAGAACACCCTAGCAACTACATAGTAGCACGAACACCATAGCAACAAATTAACAACCACTCAAAACACCCTAGCAACCACATAGCAACACATTAAGAACCACTCAGAACACCCTAGCAACTGCATAACAACACAGTAACCACTCAGAACACCATTGCAACTGGCTAGAAACATCTTAACCACATACAACACTCCAGCAACCGCATAGCAACACATTAATAACCACTCAGAACACCCTAGCAACTGCGCAGCAACATGGTAATCACTCAGAACATCATTGCAACCATCTAGAAACATTATAAAAACCACTCAGAACCCCCTAGTGTCCGCATAGCAACATATTAACAACCACTCAGAACGATGTAGCAACCATATAGCAACATATTAAAAACAACATTAGCAACACAGTAACCATGCATAGAAAATGTGTACATATTTCATAATAATGGCATAGAAACTGCATTATTGTGTCATTATGAGTTGTGCTGCATGAATCTAGAATTACAGAGTCTGATACTAATGACTGAAATCTTTCTCCTTTATGTTTCCTCTTCCTCTCAGGATGTAATCTGTGGCGTTGTAATTTCAGCTGTCATCATGGCTGTGTCGTACCCATACTGGGGATCCATTGACTACCTGCAGCTGCACAATCCTCTCTCCCCCGTGGTGGGGGTGGTTCTGCCCCTCTTCCTGTCCTATAAGTACCCCGAGCTGGACCATTACAGCACCACACGGGGGGACACCACCATTATTTTAGCATGCTGTTCGGGATGTTCAGTTGGATACTGGGTGAATGAGCGATTAGGCTTGACCTTTGACCTAGCCGGGCCTTTTCCAGTGACCCTACCACCGCTGACACTCGTAGCCTTGGGTCTCTGTGTGGTGCGGTTCCTGGTCGGGTTAGGGATGCTGGTCCTGACCCGGCAGACGGTGCGCTGGGCGAGTCTGCGGGTGCTCTGTCGAATTAACGGAGCATCTGTGAGTGACGTCGAAGCACGCAGAAGGAAAGAGATCGAGGTGCCGTATAAGTTCAGCACGTATGTTGCCATCGGACTGGTCAACAGTATCTTAGTGAACAGAGTGTATGTGATGATGGGACTCTGGGATTTGGGAAATTCGGTGTAATTTCACAGTGTTTACAGGCAAGTTTGAACTGAATCTCGCTCCGTAATTCATTCTCAGGGAGAAATTCACTTTAGTCTTTGTTCAGGAATGGTTGGCACATAAATTCTCACATTGAACACTGAACAGTAGTTTGTTAAACCTACTAGCTGCATTTTGTCAGATTTTGAAAACCGAATTACAGTTTATGGATGTTTTGTGGCAGATTCGCTTGATTTTTAAGGGAATATTCTTGGTTAAATACAAGCTAAAGGAGAACTGTGTAATTTCTGTGCCACAAAAGTCACCAACTAAAATCAGAAACCCATACAAATAATTTGAAAAATGACTAATGAATCATTTACTTGACTCTCATCTGCTATAGAGTGAAATGAGTTAGCATTTTTTTGTGTGTGTGAAAATTAGTGTATTTTTACACTTTTGTGCGCTTTTTTACGCTTCCAGTTGCATCGTCCCAAAGTCAATGTTTTTTGTGAACAGGTTTTTGGTTTAATGTCTGTGTTTACAGAAGATATTTTCACGTTTTATTCTACAACATAAAATACATCAGTAATAGCCCACTGATTTTTATTTTAGAGATTTTACTTGTCTTGAAAAAGATGGTTGCTATGGTATTCTGGGACATTAAACATCATCACACCAAACCGGTAAACTCATCTACTCACTAGTTCTTTCACAGCCTCATTATGTTTAGAATCACACTCTTGCAAACGATTCTAACTCAAACTAATCAACTAAGGATTGAAACGCCACTGGTTAAGTCAGTGCTGCTGACATTGATGATTAAGTAAATAGTCACGTTTTGATCATACTTTTTTCTGGGATAATTCAATGTATGCCTTGCATGAAGATATTAGAATATATTTGAACATTTCACCTTTATAGGAAACTGTTGATTTCTACTTCCAACCATAACTTAAGTTATAAACTTAAGTCAGTGGTGCAAAGTTATGGCTGTTGCCCAATAGTCTTCCATTGTAAAAGCATTTTTTATCAGGTCAAACTGTCGGACAAATTTATATTATTATTTTCTGTGGTAATAAGAGTAAATGGAGCTAACATGGATATTCCTTTCGATATTTTCCTAAAAACAGCGTCGCCTTAAAAGTTAGATTTTGCACTGAAACCCACAGATTAAAGATGCAGTCACTTTTACCATTGCTGAGTGGATTTCACCCGTGAAAATTCGCTCATTTCAACAGGAATCCATGTGACTGGGAATTTCGTGTGAGGGCCAAAGATTTCCCCACGCAGATTTTGTGACTGGTTCAAGATGGTCACACGAATTTGTCGTGTTGACCAACAGAAAGCTGCTGGATTTGAATGTGATTTCTGCACGAGTTGTGCTACACAATTGACAACGGACCTTTTGGCCTTCAAAATATCGCTGAAATTTTGCGAATGTCTTTGAAGAAAGTCCTTGAAGAAAAAGGTCTAAGTTCAGTTTTGTGACATCACAATGACAAGCTTAAAAGGTAGATGATGTTTAATAATGCCCATTTGACTGCCTCAAATATGCTTTTTTTAACACGTAGTTATGCATTTGATATTTATTACAAAATACTGAAGAACATATTTTGTACTTCGAGTTGCCAGCTATGATACTCAGAATGTGTGTTTATGAGCTTTTACAGATGTGGTAAAAGAAATGAATAAACACAGTAAAAACGGCTCTGAGTATGTGTCTTCGCTCTCCCTTCATTGTTTTTTTAATTGTGTTGATGTGCTGAGGAATGTTTGGTTTAACAGTTCTTTATGACAGAAACCACAAACATGTCTCATGTAGCCTCACAAATGCAGTGTACACACAGACCATCCTTTCACACACACCCAAATTAAAGACTGAGAATAATAGCCTCTAATCACTTACCCTCTTAAATGTGTAATTCAGACACTAACGACACATCTACTCAACTTTTAACACTTAGAATAATATCAAAGGCATTAAATAGCTAGTATGAAACTGACAAGTATGGGAAGCCACTGAGCTCGTTTTAAGCATATGAACTGAATGAAGCCTTTGGATTTTTAAAATCATGAAAAAACTAATTCAGTCAAATGCATGTAAACAAGTCTGGTATCTGTTGGAAATCAGGGGCCTGTACCATGATAGTGGCTGAACAAACTCAGGGTTACAGGATTAGTTTTGAGTTGACAACCAGACCAATCCAATCTGGCTTTGTTGGTACCATGATGCTGACCATCAACTTTCTCTGTCAACTCAGGCTTTGATCCGGAGTTAATGAAGCAAGCGTGACATCAGTAATGAACAGCCAATCACATGCCCTTTAACTGTGATTCACTTCTCGCAATTCACTGCCATAGATTAAAAGATTGAAAAATATTCATTTAAATACATTTACACAGCAAGGTGGAAAGAGCTGTCAGTGAAAGAGGACAACTAAAAGAAAACATCTTGCCATATCAGTGCAAGTGAAATTGTGAAGTTAGTTTATATAGTTGATAATATATATAGGTAGAAAGAGACTCAAAAATCTAAACTGAAATGTAGTCATGTTTAAAGCTTTATCCATTAATTCTAAAGCTTATTTATATTCTATATTATCTGTATATATTTATATTAATTTAAAATAAAAGATTAATCATTAGTATTTTAATATGGCTTGTGTAATGGATTAAGGCTATAATAAATAAATAATCATCACTAAAAGCCAGATGATTTTATCTTTAAAAATGTTTTACTATGTAGTGCCCTTTAATTTGGGGCAAGCGCCTGTTGTTACGGGCTCCTACGTCTGCCAGACAGATGAAGTTCAGTGACTGCATAATTATTAGCATATTAGCATGAGGACATCAAACACACCTTTTGTTTCATCCTTCAGGACGACGTCTGAAATCTCGAACAGTTTGAGAGGAAGGGGCATCTTCCTGTTGGCAGCGAGCGTCTTCAGTAGTCCGGGAAGAAGACAGGTGCGCGCCACCTACAGGAAAGTACGGTTTAGTTAGTCAGACCTCACTACTAACTGATTTCATCTTGTGAAAGCACCCACTAGTGGACAGATGTGAGAAATGCCAAACAGATCTTCTGTGGGTACCTGAAACTCAGTGGTCTTTGGGTTGGAGATGTGGACTGCTCTGGTTTCTGCGATGTTTTTCCTGAGTTTATCTGCGATATCTTCTTCTGAGCACTGCAGAGAGAGGAAAAGACCATTTTAAAGCAGTCACATCATGGAAAATACGATAATAATACGAAAATGCAAAAAATTGACAACACGTCTTTGTTACATTGTTCTTGTGTCAACTATACAGTGCAACCAATCTTGTCATTTAATCAGACTTTTATAAGGGGTTCTTCTATTTATTTTCTATTTTCTAAGTGCATGTTATTGATCAATTTTTTTGAACGATTCATCCATGCGTTTTGTTTTACCTTGTAACTTTTAATCAAAATGTCATAACCAAGTTCCTGGATTACATTTTTTTTATTATTATTATTCAATAATCCATTACACTTAGATGTACGTCACAACATAGAATGAAACATCTGCTGCTACTTCGATTTAATCACGAATTGAAATGATTCAGTCAAAATGACTCTCAAACTCAAGATTTATTGTTTCATAATCATTTTCAAAAGTGACTTGTTGAATCTGTCAGGTTGCTATGACAACGTGGAGTTATAAATACACAGTCACACAAAAATGTTGTTGTTATAAATGGTATAAAAAAACAACAACATTACAATATGTTGTTTAGTATGCAGTTAAGACCAGATGCATATTAATGAGGGCGCTGCCCAATCATAGCAAACAGGGCTGGGTTGACAATATCAATAATCTTTGTTTTGATGAACTGATATGGGTTCTTAAATTTCAAAAACGACCTTTTAGTCTTTTCTATTGATGCATGAATATATATATATATATATATATATATATATATATATATATATATATATATTTACACACACACATTACATATAAATATATTACTATTAATATATTTTATCAATATATATTAATAAATATATTCTTATGTAATATATTATATTACATATTTTGTTTGTATACAACATAGTTTTTATTTCAGTGTCGATTATTATATCTAAAAAATAAATAGCAAATTACTTTCTCTGTTGTTAATTTTACCCTGTAATATTGAAGTAATGTACCATCTGACAGGGATCCCTGTATAGTTTACAGCATTAGTTGAGAGATTGTTTTCCTTAAGAAAAATCAACAAGTACTGTACCTGATATTTATCCGGACAAATTGATATTGAATTGAAATTTAATTGAATCGAGAGCTTTTGAATCAGGATCGATTTGATTCTTGAAATGTCTACCCAGCCCTAATAACAAAGATTATTTACATACGCAAATCTTGCAAAAATTATCTTTTCAATTTTAATGGTCAGAGAAAGGGAGAGAAATGGCCATGAAAACTAAATGACAAATGCTTGCAGTACAAGAAACATTCTAAATGGACAGGAGGAAAACATGCAGAATATAAGAGAAAGGTTTCTAACCAGAGCGAATGTCAGTGCTTCAGTAAACCCAGCGGCCGCGAGGTCTTGCCTCAGTAACTCTGTCAGCTTATTTAGAGGGAGCTGCAAATATAAAAACACATGATGTAAGAGCCATAAAGTCACCACTGAACCTTTAAAGCGATCTCAAGTTGAACTGGTCAGAATGAATGTTATTCTCAAACCTGATTGGCTACGGTGTACGTGCGCGGCGTGCTCCTGACGATGTTGTTGAAGCCGTATGCTATGGCGGCATCCTCCATGATGTCACAGGCGTGGATGACATCAGCACGCGTGGGCGGGATCTCAACCTGGATCAGATCGCCCTCACCGCTGACCTCTGACCTCAAACACATCCGGGTCAGCAGCTGAGCGATGCTTTCTGCCGATTCACTGAGAGACAACACAGAGTGTGATCAGGGTTCAATCTACTGACTGAAGCAGAGGAAAAAAAAAAAAGAAGTTAAAGCTCTAAATCAGGGGTGCCCAAACTCAGTCCTGGAGGGCCGGTGTCCTGCAGAGTTTAGCTCCAACTTGCCTCAACACACCTGCCTTTAAGTTTCCAGTATGCCTAGTAAGAGCTTGATTAGCTGGTTCAGGTGTGTTTAATTGGGGTTGGAGCTAAACTCTTCTGGACACCGGCCCTCCAGGACCGAGTTTGGACACCCCTGCTCTAAAGAGATCAAATTAAATATTTATAATGTGCTCACTTGATCCCAACTCTTTTGTTGATGAAGTCCCCAGACAGCGTCTCCGTCCTGTACGCCAGCTCCTGATTTCAAAGTCGACAGTCAGCAAAGAACAATATTTTATTCATTTTAATCTGGATTTAATATTTAGTCCTGTATCTCTGTCAACAACATCTGTAGCACAAAAATATATTTGTGTGGGTTAAAAAAAAAAGACCATTCTGTCATCATTTACTCACCCTCATAAGTAAGTAAATGATGACAGAATTTTTATTTTTTGGGTGTACTTTCCCTTTAATTTCAATGCAGTTGTGTGGTTAGTTCAGAAAATGAGTGCAATTACAAACAAGTTGAAAACTGAATACATACAGGATACACACACAATCTGCCGTCAGGATAAACAACCTCTGCCTCCTCAACCCTGAATAAAGAGACAGACACATCAACAATAAACATCTCCGTACCGAACAACATGTTGAAGGGGTAAATGAAAACTGGAGACGCTATAAAACAATATAGAGTGTGTCGTGCGATACTCACGTGAACGGTTCCTCACAGTATTCACTAAACATGGTCACTACCATGTCCAGCGTGGTCTTCGCCTGCAAACACACACAGAAAACACTTTTCATGTTTAAAAGCATGCTGCAGTTCTTAGTTACTCTTCAGGATTGTTTGATAAATTGAAAGTTCAAAACAACCGCAATTCATTTGAAATAGAAGTCATTTGTAACATTATAAATGTCTTTACTGTCACTTATGATTTAATGCATCCTTTCTGAAAAAGTATTCATTTCTTTAAAAAAAAAAAAAAAAAAAAAAAAAGAAATCTTACAGACTCCAAACGTTTGAACTGTAGTGTGTATATTGTATTATTACAAAACAGTAATAATATCAGTATAACGGTAAAGCGGTTTACCTTTGTGAGGTCTGTGGCCGTGCACTCAATGAAAATGTTCTTTGTGTTTAATGAGATTTTGCTGTGGTCCCCTGAGAGAGAGAGAGAAATACAAAACTTTAGACTAACAGTGTTTCAATGAACAGATCTATGTACAGAAAACTGATCAACAAAACCACAAAGCTTAAAGATGAATTGAATGAAATGGACTATCCGTGTGCCTGTGAATGCATATGTGTGTATTTAACTCACCGTTGATGATTGGAGGCATAGACAGGACGATTCCATTACTGTCGTATATGATGGGGTAGAGAGGTTCATTCTCGATGATGTGGAGGTAGTGTCTCAGATGACCGTCAGTCTACAAGACATTAAATATTCATAAAACAACTTAACATTAAGATTGATTACATTTGTTTAAACTTGTTAAACGAGGAAAAATCTCTAAAAGATACAAGATTTGACAAATGCATCGACAAACAAGCTGCTAATGTATTAAAGGGGTCATGAACTGAGAAATCAAAATTCCCTTGATCTTTTGACATTTAAGAGCTCATTGTACTTTAAAAGCATCTTGTAAGTTTCAGAACTCAAAACTTTATTTTTAGTCTAAATACTGCTTATATTGAAGCCGATCTGCTAAAAATGACAGCTTGTGGAATGAGCCACTTTATGACGTAATAGTGTGGCTAAACTCCGCCATTAACGAGAGGCAAACGCAGGTCTACACAGAAACCAAAGATAAAGATGCTCAGAAGACAAGACGCTGTGCAGTGCCAAGCTGTGGGAAAAACAGTCTTTGCATCGCCTTCCTTCTGATCCCAACATTAGGAAAGAGAGGATGAAGTTTATTTTTAATGAAGATCCAGACCTCGTCAGTAAGAACTTGGGCCTTTATTCACTTC